AAATCCCATTACACAGAAGTGAGGAAAGCAGAGGGTAAGATCGCACATCTTCAGCATTCCTGTAATTATTCCTGTAATTAGGCAATAAAGTATTTTGGTTTAAAATATTCAAAAATTTACCAAGATTATCAGCAGAATGTGAAGAAATGACAAAGATGTCTAAGTATTGTGTTGCAGAGATATCTATTGAAGTTAGCACACTAACCTGCTAACCCGACCCATCCCATCTCATAATATCACTTTGTACTTCGAGAGGCGATAGTGAGTCACTGTAGTTCTCAGTCCAACATGAGAGGATGAAGTGGAAGTCATCCCCTCTCTGTCACCTTACTCTACTCTTTCCTGAAGCTCAGCTATTGACTCTGCTACTCCAGCTGCTCTCCCTCTCTCTCGCATTCCTCTTACCATTTCGTATCTCATCCTCCTGTCTCTCTGACTGGTGAGACTGGTTGTGAAATCTTCATCCTCAGTTTGACAATAACGAAAGAAAACAAGCTACCAGTTACATAATCAGATTGCAAGGTGAACCTGTGTGGAAAACAGTATTCCCCAATCCATGTAGGTTTGGCAACATCTCAAAAACTGCCCTATGCTGAGGTTAAACATATTCAAACTAACGTTAGCTCAGTGTGAAGGTTGAAACTTGGTTTTAAGAGACTAGTGAGCCAAGTCCTGTAACACGCACGCAGCATGCTCTCATGTGCACCCTTAATGACAGGTACACAGAGAGGGCTGACGTACCGATGCACTGGCCAACAAGTCTGACTATGGCACAGGAGAAGGGGAGGGACAGAGGAGGGACCAAAGAGCGCATTTCCTTGTTTTCTTACACTGGGGTGGACACCCCGACTTTCTGGTATGCTGCCCCCTATGAATTTGACAGTTGGCCAATTCCTACATTCCTACATTTCCAATTCCATCACATTCTCTATTAAACCCAAAGTCATGATTATTTAATGAAATCAATTCATTTGCTTGCTTGTTTTTACCTTTTTTAAAACGATAAAATTCCCAAATGACTGCCAAATCAATTATCAACAAAGCAATTTTATTTGAAGATTTAACAGCTTGGCTTCCTGAAATATTCAGGAAGAACTCACTGCTTTTAACCACTGATGTTGTGGAGCCGGATTCAAAGCCTGATTGGACTCATGGGACTTGAAAATTAGTCTTTGAAGATCAGCTCTCCAATATGCACCCCTTTTTAAAATCTGTAAACCACCCACAGTAGTGAGTGCTTGCTGCCTCTGACCTAAAGATGGAGGATTTTGAAAAGTCAGTGGGCACAGGGACAGATGGTCTGCACGGAGGACCCTGAAACCACCAAGGGGCTGAATGCCTTGATGCTGATATCACTCTGTGCTAAACGGGTAGGAAAATTAAAAAACTGAAGTCTGTTTCTCTGTCTCCCTTCCTCTTCCTGTGCCAGCTCACTCCATTTGGTGTGACAGTGGAGCTCACATGCATCTCTTCATCTCTTTATCGAAAAAGGTCACCTTTAAAGCAACTCCTCTCTCTCCTTAAATTTAGTTTGGGAAAATTCAGTTTTAGCTCCTTCAGAGAAATAGGTCTCTATGTCTTTAATATTACTGTAAGAAACAGGAAAAACAGCAAAATGTGCTGGTCTAAACTAAAGCTTGTCATAGCACAGCCAGCCCCTGGCAGCCTAAGGGCTGAGTCTGTGTTTGCTTTCTTTTAGCCCAATCTGCTCTTTATCTCTCTTTTCTGCTCTAGGCGCTGTCTGCACACACAACGTCTCGCTGGTGATGCAGCAGGCAGCATCCAGGTGTCTTCACTTCATCTCATCCCAGAACAACACCAAAAGACAAGCAAGAGAACAGGGATATTTTTTAACCCTCACTCCTCTGGCCAAGGGTAATTAGGAGCATGAATGTTTTCTTAAAAACATTCAGTGTACAGACATCATCTTTACAAGTTTGATCTTTTTCTCACAACAGTGGAAAATAAATAAATCGTATTTGTCAGCTGTATAACAATATACAAATGTCCTGTTTATGAAAATGTGGTGCTTGCTGTACTGATCTCTACCATTTCAATCTTGTAGGTCCAGAGATAAAACAACACATTTGAGAACTCCGTCCCTGCTGCTATGCTTGGTCCCAGAAGCCTAAAATAATTATCTTTGATTTTGAGTTGCACTTTTACCACATCTCAGCTGGTATACAGAATCTCCTTTGCATATTCAACATTTTAACATTTCCTCTCTTCTTGCCTCTGTCTCACTCTTTCTCTCATTGGCTTTTCAAAAGATCCAGAAGCTACCGCCTTCACCCTACAATTTTGCCAAAATCTGTCTGAATTTTGACAAAATAATTTCAAAAGAAATAACAAATTACTTCCTTGATAGGGCATACAGTTTCCTGTCTAAATAGCCCTGGCACATTGGCACACTCACTAAAGCTGTACACCAGGCAGCCATGCAGCTTTAATCTCTTTCACGGGATAGGCCAGACTGTCAAAACCAACACTGTCAAATTTGGAAGGCAAGTTCAGAAAAGGTCATAGAGGAGATGCTCGTGGCACAGGCCAACAATCTGCATGGAAGAAGAAAACACCATGAGAAAGGAGGAAGCTGGCTGAGGAGAAACCAATTACCAGAGTGAACAGGAGAGCTGCGCCAAAACACGCTCTCAAGTTAAACAGGGACAATGAAGAAACTGGAAAGTGGGAGAGAGGAAGAAGTGAAGTTGAAAAGAACTTGGGAACATGATGACGATGAAAATTAAACTCATTATCAGTGGCCCCTGTGTACTCCCATTACCTCAGCCACTTTACACAGGTTATTTGAAAAGCCCACGTCAATTGTACTCAGAAATAGCACCAATCAGATGCCTCTGGTCACAATGCAAAAATAGCTCAAGGACAATACAAAGCCAAACCACATGAGGCATACAGAGAGAAGAATCACAGGCACACTGACTAAGAGGAAGTGGGACAGCGTGGCTGGAAAACCAGGGTAAATGTTAGATTTGTTCTGCAGAGTTTCAATGTTAGGGTTTGAAGGATCGCTCGATATGCAGAGAGACTTGTTCTGAATGGACTTCTTAATCTTATATATCTGTCATTTGTACTAAACGCTACACATTTACTCTTGATCTTTTTGTCAATTGCCCTTTTCCACCCACAGCTCCAAGTGCACACCTGATGAAGGGAAAGAACTTGTTAGATTGCCTCCTCTGATGTTTCTTTCTCATGAACAGAGGATTTATTTTTCCCTTTGTGGAGTTTTTCTTGTCTTCTGAGCTGGGGTTAGTTAAGAGCTGTGTCTGTTGTACCTGTACGCCTGTAGCTGTCTATGAAATTGAAATAGCAGGTGGCACAAACCATGACTCAACTGGACGATTGTGGGGTTACTGTATCTATTTGATATATTTTCAATTAAATATGTCATTATCCATTCAGAGCTCCTTCAATGCTCTTGCTCTTCATGTGCTGTATGTCATATCAACATCAGCATATTATACGGACACGAGAACCTGAAAATGGGAGTGTGGACTAAAAAAAGATGTGTGTGTATCAGAGACAAGGCAGCATGTGAAACAGTCCAACATGGCAACATCAAATCAGTCAGTGGTATGAAAGCACTTGTGTAAATTTGATTTTTATTATTGTATGCTGATGTTACCTAAAGCATTTCTCAGCTGCTGCGACGCCCCCACTCTCACCCCTTTGTTAAGACAGTTGTCCAGCAGACGTCTGTAGATCCACAAATTGAGAGCTGAGCCCACTGTACTGCACTGAAGCCAGAAATGCTGCACAACATGCTTTCCAGTCTTAAGATGTAGAATGTGAAACTTGTGAGCTTGTTAACATATTCCCACTCCTCCTGCAAGCACCTTCTTGTCCTTCCTCTTTATCATAATCTCCTTTTACCATCCCTCCCACCCTCTCCTCCACCCTTCTCTCCTTTCTTCCTCACTTTATCTCCTATAATCCTCACCATCCTCCTTCTTCTGCCTTCATATTCGCCATAATTCTAGCCTCTCCTTCCCCACACACACAAACACACATTCAGACCCTGAAACACACACTCTTTTTGCTTTCCTTGCAGGGACCAGGAAGTGATTCAGAGCTTGGGATCATAGGATGGGGCCCATGTCAAAGAGATGGAACAGTACAAACAGCAGCAGCCAGGGCCAAACACTGCAGGCCCTCTCTGGTTGCCTCCCTCTCTCAGTGCCAGTGTGAAAAAGAAGATTGGTCCACTGAAAAAAAGACCCATAATCTGCAAACAGCTGAGGGCTTAAAGTGACAGGCCTGGCCCTGAGCACACTTTATAAGACTGTAGTCATTAAGGAACGCGGAGTCTCAGTTTGTTGTAACTTTCCTACTATTTTTATGAGCGAGGTGATCTTGCACGCAGACGGTTCCAAGTTCAAAGTGGTGTTGATGGATGTTTTAAGAAATATTTCATCAGTGGTGCTTTCAGCGTCTTTAAAGGTGCTGCTACAGTAGTTCAATCACTACTCAAATCACTCTAATCTCCACTCTGCTGTCAGTAATGGTGTTTTTAAAAATATTTTTCTTGATTTCTAGATGTTTTTGAAAAACGTTTGAAACTGCATGGATATGTGTATGTTCTGTATGGGTGTTTTTTTATATGTGGTTGTGGGGTAATTGGCCTTAATTGTGTGTGATATACAAACTGCAAAGACTTTTTTCTACTCACAGAAAGGCTTAATTCTACTGCTACCTAACATTAACTGTGAGTGTTTGTGTAGGTCTGTTGATTTGTTCTTCCAGCTGCTGTTCACTCTGCCGTTTCCCATTGGCTTGGCTACAGCCGTGGAAGGTGTGGTCTGGATGAAGGATGCTGCAGCCTTTGTCAAACCCTGCAGTTTAATATTGAATAGTAAACTGTAAAGAAGCCGTGGCCATGTGTGATCGACATAAACGTTCCCGACTTCCTTATAATTCATGATAAAGCTGCACTTGTTCAAGGAATGCGTCTCCAGATATTCAGCCACCTGTGGCAGGATTTAAGATGAAGACATGGCTAGACGAAAACTGCTTTTTGGTCAAGCTCTGTAACTTGGATTGAACTCCGACCGAAGTTTAGGAGGGAGAGGAACTCCGATTAAGCAGTTGAGGATCGAAGGCTTTGACTTGATGAGAGGGAAAAACCGCGAGATGCGAGCGCGTCTTCTGACCATAACCATGGGCACCGTGCGCTCCTCGCCTTGTGCGTAAGCTGCTGTGGACGGTCCACACATTATGAGACGCAATGGCATGGTGTGACCGAGGGGTTCAGACTTTGCTGGCCATCGTAGGGGCCTTCGCCGCCTTCAGCCTCATGACCATCGCCATCGGCACCGACTACTGGCTTTACTCTCGTGCGTACATCTGCAACGCCACTAATGTCACCACGGACGAGACCCAGATGCAAACCAAGAAAGTCAAAGGCGATCTGACGCACTCTGGACTGTGGAGGATCTGCTGTATCGAAGGTAAAAAATAAGGTCTAGTGAGTTTGAGTCCGTCCGTTTACAAACTTTTTTAAGTGCTAGTGAGTATTTTTGTTTTACGGTGTGGAAGTGGCAATATGCGCGGTGTGACTGGTCAAATAGTCATGACATGTTATGTCAGTGGGATAACAGTGGATTTGAAGAAATGGTTCAACTGGAAACCCGGGTGAAAATACTTGAAACGCTGACCGTTCATGCAAAAAAAAAGAAAAGAAAAGAAAGAAGTGCATGAATATTCGCAACAAATGCATCCCAGTTTGTGTTGTGTGAACGCACCCAAAATGGAAATCGCCCGAGGGGTTCATCATCATTATCAGTCATATTTCTGTTGTTTAATGCATGAAAAAGCATTTACCGTAGAGAGTTACACGGGCACGATGAGAGAAAAATTGGAGGGAAACCGCTCCCTGTTGCGCGCAAAGGCGGCGTTGTGTGTGTGTGTGTGTGTGTGTGTGTGTGTGTGTGTGTGTGTGTGTGTAATGACACGTTTGCATTAGTTTTCCTTGTAAATGATTTAGTTTGTCTAGTTTGACATACAAGGAAACGTAATGACCGTTGAAAGTTTTACGTTCTATAACAAGCAGTACATTTTGCCTGTACTTAAATCATTTATTGGTTCGTCCTAATTTTCCCATTAACGTAAAACGGTTGCCTGGCAACTTGTTCCATAAAATTGCTTCGACTGAAATAAGTTGGGGGTGTGTTTTAGCAAGAGACTGACTCTTTGCTAATTTTCTCGGCTGTTTTGCTGCATAGCCATGATCCCCAACAAACACGCCAGAGCAGGCTTGGACTGTGGTTCTGACACTGGGACATGAGCTCGGTATTGTTTGGACAGTAATGTAGGCACCATAGCGCGCGATCGCTTCATTGGAAAGAGGCCAGATGAGTGAAATCAATCAGTTGTTAAGTGACGATGGTCACCAGTGACGTCTTCCAAAAAAAAAACAAAAAAACAGTGACGTCTTCGAGTTGTGGCGCTGTCCACTGCCACTGGTGCTGAAATTTCCAGTCTGGATAATGTTTGTTTCTTTTAACGGTACCACTTTACAATAAGACTACCCTTATAAAGGATTTATAAATGGTTTATAATTAGGTAATTAATCCGGTTGTTAACACTTTGTAAACCTCAAATAAATATTATAACAAGTTTTAACAGTTTTCATAAATTGATGCAGGCTCACTATTTGGCAACATCGACTTAATGTTTGCTACTCGTTAATCTTACTGATGAGTTACTACCATTTGTAAGTGTTAAAAGGATCCTTATTATTAAGTGTTAAACCCATCAACATTTATTAATGAGTTACAATAAGGCTCCTTTTGCCAGTTATAAATGGTAGTAACTCATTAGTAAGATTAATGAGTAGCAAGCCTTAACTTGATCTTGCCAAATAGTGAGCCTGCATCAATGTATAACTTGTTTATAATTGTTTATTTATGATTTATAAAGTGTTAACAACCAAATGAATAACCTAATTATAAACAATTTATAAATCCTTTATAAGAGTAGTCTTATTGCAAAATGGTACGCTTTTAACTGACAAACCAACGATATAACGAGGCTGAATAAATAAATACCTTTAGGTTTGGAGGACAGCTTCAGATACAGAGAGCCAATTGTAACAAACTGGAAGCCAGAAATAGTGAGTTGCTGACTTGTTAAGCATTCTCTTTGTAAACACTCAATGACTGAAGGTTTCTGCAGATTTTATTTCCACACTTCTCTGTCTGTAGAACCTATGCATATTTTTGCATGCTCATTCGTGTTTAAAACCTAACAGATGTTGAGATCACACCACAGAATAAAGTATGGTTTAAATAAAATCATTGTGGTTTTAAAAGACATTTGACAGACCTCACTGATCACAAGTGAATATTTGTATGACATGTCAGAGGTTAGTAAATCACAGGTCCCAAACCACAGACCATTCAGATGCAGATATGACATGAGCACTTTTTTTCTAAAGAAGGAAGCCTGCACCTCCCATGTTTCCATGTGACATGAAGGACACATAGAGAGATCAGACAGTGTTGTGGGTGGGAAGGTCCAAGTGAGGAGGCAACACTTGTCCAAAGGTATGTGGGCAGCTATTACAGAAGTGACACACTTTTGCATACACTTTTGCTCTGTACTGTTACTTCTCTGAAATTAGTGGAATTTTATATTTTTAAAAAGTGCATTTCTATTTATGGATTTCCTGTAAAGTTGATCAAAACACATATTCCCTCTGCCTCGCTTCAAACCCTTGAGAGTACCATCAGCAGAAGTGAGATGGAGAGCTCACTGATCTTACATATCTGTCATCTTTTCCATCATCCTCTCTTTCCCTGGTCCTATCGTTGGAAGGGTGTTACATACAGAGCTGAAACTGAAAGTAACACATATTCTCTTGCTGTTTTTTCTCTTTCTCTCTCTCTCTCTCTCTCTCTCTCTCTCTCTCTCTCTCTCTCTCTGTCTCTCTCTGTCTCTCTCTCTCACACACACACACACACTCCACATTCGCAATTGTGAAAGTCAATCTAACTGGTCTCTGTTGGCAAACCTGTATCTACACCTGATGCTTAGCTGAGTCAAAAAACTTTCCAAGACTTTGGCTAAGTCAGAGTGTTAACGATGCCCAATCAAAGGCTTACTTTCAAAACTGTAGTGACTTCAAACAAACAGACAACTGCAGGATACACCTTCTAAACTTCAGTTGCCTCCTCTTTTGATTAATGCATTTTTCAAATGTCAATATTTAAAATTATTCTTTCAGTTCTACCGCTTTTTGGTTGAAAAAGTAATGAAAAAGAAAGCATCAAAGCTTTAACTTCATTTTGGATTTTTTCTTTGTCTTAACTAGCCGCTCATTTCATTTCCCTGTTCAGAGATAAGCTCTTCTAGGAACAAAGAAAAAGATGGAGTCTAACCAGTTGCATTAGGTCACATGAGTGACATAAATAATGGGTAAGCCTTAGGACAGACTTGTCGGCTAACCTTGTAGAAGAAATTAGGCTTATCTCTATTTGCCAAACAGACGTCTGTATGAGTGTTGTGTCTCATGGGAGACACAGGTTCACTTAAGGTGAGCGCTTGTGGCAAATGAGTTTTTAAAGGAAACAAAGTGAAGTCTTGTTCTGCAGCCAGTCATGCTGAAATACAACAAGAACTCTCACTTAAGCGACACACCCCTGATCGGTGAACATATTGGAGTTGCACTTAAAGATATGACGCGTTTCAAACACACGACATTTGGTACGACTTTAGAAGGACAAATCCTTGCTGTGAGCCATCGTCTCACCAAGTGTTTTTCAGTTAAAGTAATTGTATGAGCTTTTGTAAAGCTCATACATAAAGGCTGCTTTCTAGTTTTGTGGCTTTGTTTGTGTGTGTGTTTTTGTGTGTGTGTGTGTGTGTGTGTGTGTGTGTGTGTGTGTGTGTGTAAGCCTGGTGAATGCATTAGTAAGATGTCAAAGGCGTCCTCTGAGAAGCGGAGCTAGAAATGTGATTCTGGGTTGCCGGGGGGAGGTTGCCATGGTGAAGCTATGCTGAGTAATAAAAGATGGGCTCCGGTCTCTCAGACAGATGGGCTCTGGGGAGATACCTCCCCTACTGAGCTCACTCTCTTTCTCTCTCTCCTCTTTCTCACCGTCATTCCTTGGATTATTAACTCACTGGCCTTCTGTGTGTTATTTATTGATATAATAATTTTTCTTCAACATTTTCCCTTTTTGTTTGATCTTTAAAAGGTTTTTGTATTCCATGATTGTTTCTTTCTGTCCTTTACCTTTCACTGCTTTTCTTACATTGTGAAAAAAAAAATCCAATTACTTTGAAACACTGATCTTATAAATATGAAATTCATGCGAGATACGCTCACACACCTAGTGGATTGAATATATTACACAGTGTCTGTGCTTCTATATTGATCCAAAGAGTGTGCTTGGTACATTAAAAAAATCAAAAGGAAACCGAGAGAGGGCTGAAGAGGGAAACATTTTGGAACTGGCGATGGGAGAGAAGTGGGTAATTGATACATGACAGTGGTTAGAGTGTGCTCAGGATGTGAGTTGAAAGAGACTGAAAGAGTGGGGTTGAGAGAGTGGAGTCAGTGAAGATAAACTGAGTCTCGGCTCTTAAGTATGTTTCATTATATTATTTTTCCCCCATTCTTTCCCAGCAGTCTCAGACAATAACCAAACAAAATGCAGACAAATGATACACAGATTGTTAAGTAAAATACCAGTTGAAGTTGCCCTGGGTAAACTAACAGTTTTATTTATTTCAGAGTCTCTCACCTAAACACATTATGTGTATGTATCTTTATGGCCTAACAAACAAGATGAATGCATTCCTCACCTCAAAACACAACTCCATCCCAAAACAAACCCAACTAGATGAGCGGTCTACCACAAAATGCCATGCAGCCAGAGGCTGTGCTAACCAGGATGGTTGTCAGGTATAGAAGACACAGTGACTGTTCACACTGATTTTTACAACTGCACATTTAGGAGAGGGTGGATGTCGACAGCAAGTCACAGACTGTTACCGGCACTGCAGTGGCTTTAAAGGTCTCCTGTGGAGTTTTCTTGTAAACAAGCAAAGTTATGTTTTCATGCAGTCTTCTTCTTCTGCAAATTTGCTAGCACATTACTACTACTGCATTATTGCTGCCAACTGTCAATTACTGGAATAGCATAAACCTTCAGTGGGGATGTGCATGACGTCACCCCAACGCTCGACACACTGCTCTATATATTTAAAGAACAATTGAATTCCTATTTAATTAAGTCCGCTGACAGAAATCAGACACTTTATCTTGGCATTTTAACACTTCTGACCAATATTTGTTATGAAATATTCAATAACATATATCTTCTGATTTTAACTTTTTTCAGATTATTAATTAAGTCAGCATGACGAACAGCAGGAGGCATGGTTTGGACTAAATATGATTGTGATTTGTGCAATATTTTTAAGCTCATCTGCCCACTGAAGGAGGATGACCCTACCTTAACATCCAAACTGTGAAAATGCAACATGGTTATTGAGATTTCTTTTTCTGTTACAAGAATAACCAAGAGCTCATGCTCTTGTTAGACTTTTCACATTTTTTTGCACAGTAGATCTGAAAATTCACGGTATGTTAAGTCTAGTTCATGTGTTTAGACATGCCATTAATTTCCTACAGACAAGTCTCATGTCAGCTGATGCATCCACAGGTGTGTATGGGTGTCTAGCATAGATACAGAACAACACAATAACAAAGACCAAAATGACGGGAAGCAGCAGCAAAATCAGGCGTCAGACTTTTAATTCAAAGTCTAACCTTTCAATATTCATAATGCCCCAATGTTTTATTCTCTTAAAAGTGGAGGGAAGATTTTCTCAGTGAGGAGACTGGGTCTTTGAATAGAAGGTGCCTGAGGGCTTGAGAACTTCAGAATCTCAGATCCACAGCAGCCTATCCTCAAATGGTTTCTGACATGGTTAGAGGTGAAAACAGGACAGTTCAGCACTAGTTTAGATGTACTTTACCAAAAACTTTTCTACAATTTATTTGTCTCAGGATCATGAAAGTTGCATGTTGAATTAGTGGATGGTCAGCATGTAGTTTCTTTCATATCTGTCTTAATTGGAGCTTCCCGTATCAAGCTCTATTATAAAGACACAGTGTTTTCCTCTAACTGTCGTTTCTTCCCTGCGTATGGCCATCAGTCACATTTACAGTTGATGTGCTCTTGGCTTCTCCGTAGGTATCAACAAAGGAAGCTGTTTTCGGATCAATCATTTTCCAGAGGATAATGACTACGATACAGACAGCTCTGAGTACATCTTACGTAAGTCATTGCAACCTCTTCATCTTCAAACGCTTCAAACACTTAATCCAACTATCTCACCCCCTTTTTTTTTGAGTGGTGATGGAGTTATCACAAGGGCACTTAATGTGTCATGACACCCTTTTCCCTCCCACATAAAAGCCTGATGTCATGACAGTAATTGGAGCTACGGAGATGATGAAGTGTGTTTGTGCTGATGAGTAAGAGGGCTTGTCTAAAACACGACTTTACCCATGTTAGAGCACATCTGACATTTGACAAAAGTATTTTAATGAAGGCATCAGGAAAAGATACCACTCCAGCACTTACACTGAAAATTGTCTAAACTTTCTGGCTAGCCTGGGTTATTAATTAATTAATCTATTTTGGCTTGAGGTTTCATATCAGCTTCACTTGGCATGTCACATTTGGTTTCCAGTTTGATGCCCTGTCCCCCTAGACAACTGTTCCTATCTTTGCTGTTGTCTATATTGATGAATTTCAATAAACTCATGGAAATTAAATCCTGCCATCACTTGGTTAGTGTCATCGAAAGGCAGAAACATCTGCTAATTAGGCTGTAGCATCTGCATATGCATTCATCTGTCAAATCTGAGGCAATTTTTGCTTTTCTTTCACCCCCTTTATTTCTATACTTACGGCAGAGTTACTACACGCGTCAGCCAGGCCTGCCATATATTGTTATTTTCAGGACCAGTTAGGCTACTCAGAAATCCCATCAACTGACATGGAAGTGGTATTGTAAGTGTATAGTTGAATACTTCTTTTGGAAAAGACATAATTTTCATTATGTGTTAGTAGAATGCAGTTAAAAAGGCGTGTTTAGAGGACTTCAACCCTCTGGAAATGTAATATTAACAATTTTCATTTTTAATATTTTGTAAGAACATATCTAATTCTGATCCAATCTAATGTTTAAATGGAATAATGTAAAATAAGAATAATATCAACACGAGGTGAATATATAAATTAAATCCTTATACTTCTATAACTATTACCGTCAATAATAGGACTAATACAACTGTTTTATTTCTGCTACTATGACAAACACAATAATACTATAGTATTTCTTTTATTGACATTAATGTCATCATATATGAGTCACATGCTGCTCAGTAGAGCATGACTTTTTTAGGCTGATATCAATATTGATATTTGGGTTTTTAAAAATTTGATGACAATATATTGGCTGATATTTGTTAATCAACATGAAAGCGTAACATCATCAAAGATTTTTTTTTTGTAAGGATCCTTTAAGCTTGATTATTAAAAAGTTGTGACCAAGATTCATACTTGAGGCTTAGCAGGACGTTTCACAATTGAAAAAATTAACTTGTCAGCGCTCTCTGGTGGACAAAATACCTAATACACTGTTTCACTGTCTTTGGCATTTGTATTGACGCCACACTCTCACCCTGCATCTTTTATGAACAGGTATAGTGCGCGCATCAAGCCTATTCCCCATTCTCAGCACCATCCTGCTGATGCTGGGTGGCCTGTGTGTCGGGGTGGGCCGCATCTACAGCAGCAAAACCAACATCCTGCTTAGTGCTGGCATCCTGTTTGTGGCTGCAGGTAGGACGAGACTGACAGTACACTACAGATAAACACAAACTGGGGCAAGAACAAATAGAGTCTGAACACTGCTGCAGACAGAGGGAAAGTATATCAGCAGGCAGAAGAAGACAGACACAATACAAGAGGGTTTTCCCTTTAGTGTCAGTGTGGCAAATCAAGTTTGGTCTCTTCCGTTTATGGTTGCCCTAACTTATCCTGTATTTCAACTGTTGTTTTTTTTTTCTCTTTGGCATATTTTGTTGTTTTTGAGAGACTGTACGACAAAATAAGTGTGTATGTCGTAAAGCCATATAGTGTGTCTTCCTTTCCTCTTCAGTCCATTTTGTCTCTGACTGTAAACGACAAACAAGAGGATTTTACTCAATAAGAGATCTAAAGCCAATTTTGTCAGGTGTTGAATGTGATAGTTATAGGTGTGTGAACCCAATCTGAATCAGCCACTTGTTAAACGCAGCAACAAATAACAGTGGTAAAATGCACGTATAATATGGTATAATCTGTAGGCTTTATCATTCAATTTTATGCTTAAGCGTTAGACATTTTACATCCATGTGTTGTGCTTTTTTTCATCTTTCCCTTTAACATTTCTCCCTTCATCTTGCCTTCTCCCATCTGTCCCGTCTTCAGGCCTGAGCAACATCATCGGCATCATCGTCTACATCTCCAGCAACGCCGGCGATCCAAGTGACAAGAAAGATGAGGACAAGAAGAACCAGTACAACTACGGATGGTCCTTCTACTTCGGCGCCCTCTCCTTCATCGTGGCTGAGTCCGTGGGCGTTCTTGCCGTCAACATATATATCGAGAAAAACAAAGAGACACGCTTCCGAGCCAAACACGACTTCATGAAAACCATACCCTCCTCTTCACCTTACTCTCGCATCCCAAGTTACCGCCACAGACGAAGGCGCTCACGCTCTAGTTCAAGGTCGACTGATCCATCCCGCGACCCCTCCCCGGTGGGGATGAAGATCGGTGGAGGAAGTGGTGGTGGAGGAGGAGGGTTGGCAATGGGGTTGCCGATGGGGGATATATCCCTGTATGCCCTTAGTAGGGACCCTCTGAAGGGTGGTAGTGGGACTGCAGGGCCCTACAGTCCTGAGAGGGACTCTGGGTTTTTACAAGTCCACAACTGCTTCCAGAAAGATCTGAAAGACGGAGTAAACAGGAGGACCACGCCGGTATGAGGTCAGGAGTGTATTAAAAGTGTAAAACAATAAGCTTGATGGAGCGCACTAGATTTAGTACAGTTGATGAGAAAGGACAATTCCTCCCTGAGGCTGTTCAGGCAGCAGCGGTGCTGAAAGGTCAGAGCTCAAAATTGTTTTTCTTGCGTCCCTCTGTGACAGAAAAGTGCCAATCTGTGTTTCATTTGAAGGAAGAGGGGAACTGATATCAAAATAACTTTTTATTATATGACTCAATATCTTTAAAAAGTGGATGCAGACATTTTGTAGCAATATTTTAAGAGTTTCATTCTCAAATGTGATACCCACTGTTTGTGAGTGACTTCTACTCTTACAGAAAGGCTGAAAATTGAAGTTCTGGCATTCCTTAAAGGACAGTCACTTACTGGAGCTAAGTTTTCCTACTGCTACATAGCCAGAGTTAATAGCCATTTACTTATTAGTCTTGCAAAGATCTTAAGCCATTGCTGCGTTTATAATAGGTTATAATACGCCTTCTGAGCAGTGCTGCTTCTCGGAATGTGACCGTCTGACTGGGCTGGGGCTAGCTGGTTAGCATGACAACTTTAATAGAAAAGAGATGTAGCAAAACAACTGGGTTGTTTTCCACCACTGGAGACAGCTGTTGGTGAGAAAAGGAAATACGTTTGATACTGTTTCCTAAAGACTAGAAAGTAAACAACTGCTGATGCTAACGTTGGCTATATAGCAATAGCAAAACTTACAAATATCCCCTTTAACACTTGATAAAAGGGTAAAAGGAGGAACCTTTTGTAGACTTGATGCTCAATATAATAAAGAGTCTAAATGTTGAACTTCAGGCAATGATGTTTTTCCTCCGAAGCAGCTGTATAGTGTTTTGAAAATGAACTTATTTGTTTTATTCTGAGACAAAATTATTTGCTAAAACAAAGTGATTTACGTGGTTGTTTGTAATCAGAGTATTATTGTATTGTATTTGTTTGTAACTTAACACAACTGGTGCTAACTTAATCTGTACACCTTTGATAGTCTTAAGCCTTCTCAACTGCCATTTAAATACTTTTACTGCATCTGAGTAACCTCTCTCAAGCTTGTATGTGAGTCATGTGATAAATATGTGTGTTACAGTATGTGAAGTGTGTTATGGCTCTGAAACACTGCCACACTATGACACACTATGAATATGGATTTCTGTAGATATACAGCATATATCAACAACCATGTCAAGGCACACAGTAATGTCAGTACATTCCAGTATGCTGTGTGATGTATCAGTATAAACATTCTTTGTACAGACTGTCTGTGTAGTTTGCTCTCCATTCGCTCAGGGACGATGTATTGAACAAATGATTTCCTTACCCAAGTCAGACAGACTGTTACAGTTGGTGTATGTAAAAACAGAGGTGAGATCACACTGTATGCATTGCTGTTAATTAATATGACTCTTGTTTCTGCATTTACTGCCTTTGTGTTCAGAGGGTTTTTGTTGGTACCGATTTTTTTGATCATGGCGCAAGAAAATACACATATTCGATATTTCTGTATTCTTATTGCTATATATCGTGTATGGAAAATTATAATTTTTCAGGAACTGACAAGAAGAAATCATTTTGTGTCATCATGTAGGTATGTGATGTTGTTTTGCTAAATCTGACACCTCTGCCATTGCATGATAGATATTGAAATTTTTCACTATTATGGCAAAAAATTGCTACATTTGTATGCAGATCCAGTTATTCTGTTGATTGGTTTGGTGGTTCATACAAAACCCTCAAGAAAAAGTTTTAAAGTACCTTTGGTCACATTCAGAGGGAAATACTGTGATCTGTATTAGATCGGAATTAGAGACCAGTTATCGCGGTTTATCAAAAACTCTTACGTTAAACGTGGTTTGATGTAAAATATAAGCTGAGAATTGGTTGAATGGGCAAAACAGACTTTGCTTTTGCTCATAGACAAAGTATTTAGTTAATGATGTGGGGTTGATGGGATCGGCTATGAAACTTTCTGGCAGACAGTCGAGCAACCACAGGGTGTTAAAGGAAATCTGCATCAGCCAACTTAATGCTTGACTGAACCCACAGGCTCCGAAATGCTCATCCAGACTCTGGAGGGCTCGTCGTCTTGTCTCCAAACAAGAGGGCCACTAGAAGTTCAAATTACTCACTCTCGGTGTAGTACACGCTTGACTGACTACCATCAGCTTCATAGTTTGTTTCCAGTTGAATATTTTTAGCAGCAGTATTTTAGCAGAGGTTTAATTTAGTAGTTGGTTTGTGAATCAGTGTCACGGTGGTTGCCTTGTGTGTTTCAACATACAGATCCATAAGAGGGCGTGTGGTCGCTGCAAAGTCTCTGCTCTCCAGTTGTCATTCAAGTCACTGAGGGGGAGAAATGGGAAGCCTTGAATTAGAATAGACTTATTTTTATTCTGTGTGTGTGTGAGGTATCTTTGTTATGCTATACTGGTCTGATTACCTTGTTTCCCCATTCCACTCCTGAATTTGAGTGATTCTTCTTCACCCCTCTCCTCTGTCCATCACCCGGGCTGTTAAGCCCTGTGAATTTGAATGCCATGGACCCTCACTGATATTTTCATCCATGAGAAAGCTGTGCCCCTCCTCTCCTGCTCCCTGTTCCTCCTGTCTCGTCGTGGTGGAATATCTCCTGCGGTAATTGAGAGGAAAATGGCAAGGCCTCCTCTCCATATAGTCACAGGACTAGCCAACATGCTTGTTAGCATCTGTACCATGCTATGCAGGACAGATGAAATAACACTTTGTGGTCTCAACTCAGGTTCTGTCTCTGTAACCTGATCTGCTGGTGTGACAAACACTAGATGACACAGCAGTTCACACTTCAGCTATCTTTATCCTAAACCTGATATACCCAAAGTCATAACAAAGCATTTCCAGCCAGCAAGTTTATTTTACTTGGAAAAGCAATTTCTCAGCTGTAATTTTAGTAAATAAAAGCTTCTCAGAGCTATTTTGGACAATGCTGTAAATCATACATCGCCTCTGGTAAACTTGGAGATCTTGTAATAATGGTTTGTGCACAGTTTTCTGCTGATGTGATTGTCTTTTGAGGGAGAGGGTCAGACTACTATAATGACACTGTTATTGTCACAAATTATCATCAAGTCATCAATGGTGAGAGCAATATCATTTATTCCATTCATTTATATCAGGGAATCACTGTTTCATTTGCAGTAATGTTAGTTTAATATTATGTGAGGTTACAGAGCGAATGGGAATGCTTGATGCAGTTTCCTCCTGAGAGATCCCATCTCCACAGGCACTCTCTCTCCTACCAAGTTCTTTTTGAAAATTTAAAATGGCTGACATTTCTCCAAGCAGGGGGCTTGATTCCTTACTCCCTGTTGATATCGCTGCCATACTGTCGATCCAGGAACCACAGGCATCCATTAGGGTGACATCTGTCACTGTGCTAAGACTGGATTTAGCCAGCAGCAGCTGCAGCTTAACCCTTTTCATCTGCTATGACGTGAAAAAAAACCCAGATCCTCATGGCGTAGTGTAACATATCCAATTACTGTAGAATGTCTGCAGAATTGCAGCTTATCTGAAAACAAGCAAATGTCACATGACTAAACCTGTGATTATAACCTGATAAACTCGTTAAACATGAGAGACAGGAGGAGCCCAACTCCTAAGCCGATATATGGAAAATGGTCTCTTCAACTCTATTAAATAGAAACACAATCAAAGTTAAATGTAAAAAATATAAAGGGCAAATGCAACTGTAACCAACAGATTTTCACCCACTGGTTTTGTAACCAAGGAATTAAAGATTTTTTATAATTCCATTACTAAACAAATAACTAACAAAAAAATTGTGAGAAAAATAAGTGATCTGAATAATCATATTGATAATTTTCATCCATTAAATTCTACTCTACACTCTTCTAAACCTCTATTGTGTACATGCAATTCTTAAATTGTCAGTTTCGGAGTATTTTCAGTGAAATGATAACATATACATATCAATAATGTACATGTAATGTAATAACTATGGTACTACTAAGCCTGTAAATACAAAGTGTCAAAGTGTTTGATCTTTTCCATGAGAGGAGTGAAAATATTTTTGTTGTGCTTTGTAATGTATTATTTTGCAGACAAATCTTTTTGATTTGTTTTACAGACACAGTTTCCTCATTATGATTTATTAAGTCCATGATTAGATTTTGATTTTATCCAGTGGGAAAAAAAACCTGAAGTATATATAAAGATTTTAAAAACATTTCAAACAGTTACTCTTTTTTTTATCCCTATGATAAATTGTCAAGCAAGTCAAGTTTATTTGTATTGCCCGATATCTCAATGGACACAATGTTTCTCTATCAAGGAAAGGAAAAACTCTCACAAAATACTGAGCACATGAGATTAAAAAAATTGAAAAAGATGAAAGGCTGTAGCCGCATCAGACAGTAATGGCCCTTCAGACCTGAATTAACACCATCAGCCAGAGGATGTCTGTAATGCGCATGCTGTGGAGCCCAAAATGCAGAGGCCTTGAAAACTTTCTTAGGCACCCAGCTTTCATGGGATTGCCTGACGCAACAACCAGGAATACGGTATCAAGTTTTTCTTAATAAATCCCCTCGATGTATTGCAAAGCTAGCAACACAATCAAAGTGTTATCATAAATAAGTAAAGTCATCTCAGAATCATATTATGAGCTAGCACATATTTTGATTAAAAAAAATAGTCAAAATACCATATAGTGAGAATAGGATCAGAGATGAGAAACAACTGTCATTTTTTGTCTACAGATATGAATGGGTACCATTCTCTATTTTATATCTCTATTTCATTGCAAATGTGAGAGTAGAACTCATGATTTCCTCTGAGTGTAATAAGCATTAACCCAAGTACATCTAAACTACTCCGCTTTAAATGCTGAAACTGAACTTTTGGTAAATGAGTTTGTCAAACACCAGAAGTCTCTGTTGAATAAACAATACACGATAAAAAAATAAAAACAACGGTCTAACAGCAGGCAGAGGTTGCTGTACATCTTCATAACAGTCAGAAAAACAAAATTTTGTGAGTGACCACCTGTTGTTTTAATTTAAAGTTGTCTAAGTGAAATGTACAACATGAAATGTCCCAAATCCTTTTAGGAACAGCAGTTTATTGCTTTCTTTTATTATTGCAGGTACACTTCAATAACACACTTGAATTTAAATTGCCAATTAAAATCAGTGACTATCCAAATTGTCTCTTCATAACTAATTACAGAAAGGTTGA